TGTGATAAAGGCAGTATTTCTTTCGTTTGCCTTATATCTAGTGTTGCCAAAGTGGAAATTTTAAGCCACCCTGTAAATTGATGGTTATGGAGTTTAGCGGTGCAGAGCAGGTTAGGTAGTCATTTGAAATTAGAGGCACAAAGTTATGGGTTAGTGTATCAGAACATGGATTCAGCAGGTTAAGTATGTGCCAGCCTCAGAGAATAGTGTCACATTGAAGGCTGCTGAAAATCATCTGTGTGGAAGTTTGGCCATGCAAATGTGAAAGCTCCACTGAGACACTTCTGTGAATTTGGCCCGTAATGATCTCTCTCAGGCAGATGAGCAGCAAATTGTACATAAGGTCTGAAACAGATTCATTCTTGACCATCTGTTTTCTTGCTTTAGCTTGTTCTTGAGATGGCTTTTTGTGCTCTGCCATTGCTGCCTTTGTTCACTTGGATCAGATGCTGTTGAATAAGTTGATCATCCACAGAAGCTTTTTGTGATAGGTCCAGAAAAAATAGGTATAACCGCTCCCTGAGACTTCTCTAGTAGATTTGCAGAGAGCAGGTGCTAACTCTTGTGCTTGAATATCTTTGGTTCAAATTTAGGGGTATTTGCAAAGTTCACGTTCTCAGTAGTGTTGTAGGGACCTATTTTACAGCTCTCCTTTTGCACCTGCCTGAGAATCTGATTCCTATTTTGGTGGTGACCGTAAGCCTGCCTCTTTGGGCAGACCTCTGTGGAGGTAGTCACTGTGCAGTTTGTTGTTGAACCACCACCAGCATGTCGTGTGTTTTTGTAGCTGATGGGTGGGGGAGGAATAAAGCTAGATGATTTTCAGTGGAAAGGAGACAAAAATGTTTCCACTTAATTTGATTGGCCTACCATTGCAGGAGCTGCTAATGATGTCTACATGGGACTCGGGGGACCACTCAAACTGGTGGAGGGAATCATAAGAGATATTACTAGTAACTTAATCATCTCCTTTGATGCTGCAGTAGAGGTTTGTATAGTGTCCACTGCTAGATGCTGTGTAAGAGCACTCCTGAGGTAATTAGTGCCCTGTCCTGAAGGTGAATTTTTGCTTGGGGAGGGGAGTACCAGTGAAAACTAAAATCCATTCGTTTTTCTCTCAGGAGGTTTTGCTGGGCTAGAGAATAACATGATCTTTAGGCATTAATAAGGTTTCGCCTTGATGGGGAGAGCCCATTGTGAGAAGAGATTCCTGGTCTCTTCCACCTGTAAGGCAGTGGTGGTGGGCTGGCTCCTTCTCTCTACACCCATGGGAAGGCGGTGGCCAGTGTACCCTCAGCAGTAGAGACTTTGTCAAGTGCAATTTGGTTCATCCTCTAGTGCAAGCAGCTTCTCGCCTTGCATAGTCCTGGAAGACCCCGTATTAGGAAAAGGAAGAGCAGCTCCCTTAGCCAGCACAGCTCCTAAGTTAAGTCAGAGACTAACTGAGACCCCAGCCCTTGCAGAGGGTCCCAATTCTTTGCTCACCTCCATGTGCTACTTTGTCATTCATATGCCTCGGTGACTTAAACTCCGTGGGTGCCCAATGGTTTAGTGTAACCTGAGGAAGAACATGCACATGCAGCAGGAGCAGTGTGTAGGGTAATGTACATCTGTTCAAAGTGAGGCCTCAAAGGTGCTGGAAGCCCTCTGATGGCCTAATAATAATTATTAATGCTAATAAAAATTAGTGAACTCCTCACCTCCTGGCAGAAGGCTAGAATAGTAACTACGGAGTCTTTGTTCAGTTAGAGATAAGAATGGGTCAGCCTTGTGCAAAAACCTCCTTCCCTGAGCTCCGTCCTCTTCTTGCATCAAGTCCTCCACTGGCTGTGTTTTTATCTTCCTGAATTACAAGAGGGAATGGCTTTTTTTTTTTTTTTCTTCCCCCCTTCTCCCATGCTCCTGTGAGAGGAGAGAGGGGGAGAAGGATTAGTGAGCTAATTAGAAATGATCGCATCTATCAACACTAATTAACAATCCTGTGGTCTCACTTGTGTGTTCTTTTGAGCTGCTCCCCTTCGGGACAGCACCACAATCACCCCCTGCCTTTGGGGCTGCTCTGTCCCTTCTGTGCTGATTGGAAGTGATAGCCTGGCTGCGTGTCGTGTCGTGTTGGGACAAGGCTGCTCGGGATGTGCTTGCTAGGCTGCAGCATTCCCTTTCGGTTTCTGCTGTCACCAGGGGCACCCTGGGCCTCCGTGGGCACAATGCTGCCGCTGCTAATGACCACAGAATGAAAATGGCAGGGGCATTTGTTTTCAACACCTCTTTATTCTAGTGACTTTTTCACTTGTGGCACTAGAACTTAAAGGGCTGCTTCTCGGTGGAACTAAATGAGCCAAGATAGGGGCTGTCAGCTGAGTCTTGTGTGGAGCTGGAGCCGAGTTAGGTTCTGTTCCAAGCTCTGCACTTAACATTTCAACAGTGGATCAGGTGCTTGTTCTGGCAAAATAGTCCCACAAATTTATCAGTGCAAGACCTGAGACAAGTTGTCTTCCTTTTGTCACTGTTACAGTGCATGCACTGGAGGATGGCAGTAAAAAAGTAAAAATGCCAATAAACTTGCCAGGCAGTCTGACTTAGCGGAATTGATTGGCAATGGGGAGTCCTACCAGAATAATTAAACTGCTCCTTTCCTACATTTCCATGTTTAAAAACAGGATGAAGTGAGGGAAAGATGTGTCTACAATCAGGATAGAGAAGGCTTTGTTCCTGTGTTTTCTCTCTGGTCAGACAGGCGTTTGCTGGAGAATGCTCAAGTCGTGTCTGATTCCAACGCCCTCCCCTATTTTGCGCTGGCTCTACAGAGCTAGTGAGGTAAGAGCATCCTAAACTTATGCAAAAGAGCAATACTGGAGGATGTAGGTGCTCACTAAACCAGAACTTCAGAAGTGCCTCATGCACTGAAGTACAAACCAGAAAGAGCATGACTTAACTGTGACTACTTCTGTAACACAGTTGTGTCACATTGAAGGGGGAAGAGGGATAGTGTTTTGTGGTTCAGGAAGGGGAGAGGAAACACAAGACATGTTGGGGGTCATTGTTTTATTTAAAAGTGGAACATAATTCATCTGGGCACAATGAAATTAGCAATAACACTTCCTGATGTTTGCTTCTGTATTCACTGGAAGTCAAGTGGTTTACCTTCTGGAGTAGAAGCTGACAGTATAGGTAGAATAACAGATTTAAGCAGACAAGTTAGAAGGGAAACTATTAAAATATCCCACTAGGAGTGCTAAAGTACCTGAAGTGTGTGGAGAAGCAGGTGGGCTGTGGAGCTGTCAGTGTGGTGTACTCAACACAAGAGAGGATTGTGGAGCTTCAGCGAATAAAATTTAGATAATGAAAGCGGTGGGCATGTACTTGAGAATCTCTGTTGTTCAAAGTACCAGATATTGAAAACACTCTTGTTTTGGCCTCAAGTTCCTGTCTCTTGTTCTAGGAATGCCACATTTGCAGAATCCTTTTCATGGTACCAGGAGTGGAGATTTATTTTGCAGGGAGTTTTCCCACAAATCTGTCTTGTTCAGTGAGGAAAAGCAATACCAGGGAATAATTTGAAGCCTTAGTCCTGGAGCATCAGAGAGAGTAGGGGATGATGAATACCCCTGGTTCTGGATTGTGGGAAAGTATATCCTAACCCAGAGAGTCCTGACTCCAGGAAGGCCAACAAGAAAGCCTTAGAAGAGGCCTTTCAGGTCTGTGTTGGTGTGTTCAGCTGAAATTTTATCATTCACTTGGTGATGTGCGTGCACTAAACTGATGCACTTTAGAAAACAATTGACAGAAACTTTCCTGTACCCTGCTCCTTCTGTTCCTAGCATTCCAGCAGCTTTCTCTGACTCGTTGGCTGCAGGGAGCTGTTGATCCCATTCAGGCATGAAGGCTTTCAGAGCATGCTGCAGTGCTCACAATGTCAGTAACGATTTCTTGCTAACGCAGCTTTTTGGTGGTGTCATCTCTCATTATCACATGGGCTTTCCTTGGGCTTTTCCTTGTCTCTCATTCAGAATTTTGACCTTCCTTATTAATTAAACAGCGACTTTCCTACAGCCAGTGATTGAGTTATTCAGTAATACCTGCCTAAAGCCATCATAATAAAGGACAGAAGTTCTTTTTAGTGCAAATGATTTGGTTCCAGATGTTTTGATCACGTTAAACAATGGCTCAAATTAACCAGAGATTGGATTAAGCAACAGGCTACCATGGCTGCTTTTTCTAATCACCGTGATTCCTAACATGTTTGTTTCCCAGAGCGTGCCCTCAAGAAGACAGCTGTAGCTCACAGTTTTCCTCTATGTGAAAATAGTGAAATAAAAGTAACAGAGAGCCAGAAGCTATCTATATAGGTGCATCATTTTTCGCAGCAAAGATCTTTCCTCTCCACAAATGTTACCTGCTCCTAAGATGCTGCTCCGACTTGTTTCTGATGTTCTGGGAAGGAATTATTCAGGGTGTACGGGAGACTCTGTGGTCCTGGAAGTGACTGTTATATACCTTGTCCAAGGCTTTTCAGATGCTACATCATCTTTCTACAGTCTAAGCAAGTACTTGTATAGGGAATGGATGTGTTAGTGGATGTGTCTCAGACTTAGAAGGCAAAAATCCAGAACACGATTCAGTGGCTTGATCACTCAACTTTGAAAACAATTTCAGGCTTCCAAGAGAAAGTATTTAACCATTTGAATAACTTACCTGGGGATGTGCAGCAGATGTTCTTTCTCCTAGTTATTAAATCGTGAGTAGCTGCCTTTCTGAAATCAGGCTGTACTCAGCTACAGGTTACAGATTTAATCTGGAAAGTGCTAAGTAACAGTGTCCGTACTGTTTACGGAGGTCAGAACAGGGAGTTGCAACGGGATTTTCTGGTGTGAAATCTTACCGTTTCTGCCAAGGGTTTATTTGGAGCTGGGCAAATAGAGAGAAGAGTGAATCTACAAACTTGACATGTCTTCCTTTCTTTTTTTGTTTTCTTTCCCTGGTTTCTCCATGCAGCTCGGATTGGAAAAATGAAACGGAGGAAGCAAGACGAAGGGCAGGTATGTCCCCTCTGCAGCCGACCTCTGTCAGGATCCGAGGAGGAGATGAGTAGGCATGTGGAACAATGCCTTGCAAAGGTAGAGGCGCAGCAGGATTGCCAGCTGCCATTCCCTTCTCCCCACTCCCAGCTTTGTCTGCGGTTGACCTAACCTGGGGCAGAAACTAACATTGCTGAGCTTGCAGGCAATGCTAACCGTCTCCCTAAGTTCTGTAGTCACTTCTCTTTGTCTTGGAAGATGGATTGTTCCGGATTTTTCTCCTGTGTTGCATTAGTAACTTTTTTACTTCATGCACCCTTTTGCTATTATTGAAGTCTAAGTTGTAGACAGTAAAGGTAGAGCTATTGAAGTTTATGAAGCCTTTTGTAGGACTTCATGCTTCCTGTGTAGCACAGCAGGAAGAGTTTTTTCTGATCTCTGCCTTTGACAACGTTAGAATTATTTTTTGTTGGGTTCTTTCGTAACAGACTGGCATTTGTAAATGTTGCATGACCATCTTACTCCAGGAAGTGCCTATGAGCAGAACTGTTCTCTTGCTGTTCATCCCAAAGACAGCAAGGAAGATGGAGGAACAAGCCCTAGGGGAAGGAGGGAGTTGTGTCATGGGGCTTTCTGTGCTTGTTTCTCAGGAAAAGCCCACAGTAGAGATGGTAACAAATTTGTTCTTGTTTCCTCAAGAGGTGCATGGTGTAAAGAGAGGTGTCTTTTGTCAGTGTGCCCCCCAAAAATATACTCTAGGAGAACAT